ATGTGCTCATACTTCTAAGTTAAAGGGAATCTTTTATAGCTGCTGTATTTATAGACAATGTCTATTAAACAATGAGCCACTTGCTTTGCATTTAGTATGGACTCACATCATAGTTGTAGTGGCAGAGCAGCAAGGGCTATATTCAAAAGCATAAAGTGGACAACTGTTACAGTATAGGTTGGATCATTAAAAGTAGTAGTGATAGTATTACTAGAGTCCTAGGTTAGAGGCCTGACTCTGGGGATCCAATAAATCAGGTCTGGCCACTCACCCCAAAAACCAAGCAGAAAAGGTAATGGTGAAAAGCATGAAAGGTGAAGCTGGCCAGAAAGACAAGAGGACCCACATTCTTAGCCCAGTCTTTGAGGGGTTGACAATGAGGTTTTATAGAAGGGGAAATGAGGGGAAGGGTTAGGGGATTTGAACAGCTAGAAGTTTTTCACAGTCACCAAAGCAGGTGATCTTGATTAAGTGAGGTCTGTCCATCATTATCTCAAGATTGGTCAGGTGGAGTCTTACCCCACATAAGAAAGTTTCTGTTACCTGGCAGGTAGCTTTCTGTCATCACAAGAAATATATGGAATCCAAACTTATTCCTGGCTTCCAAGGTGACTGGGAACAAAGAGGATGGATGTAAAATGGAAGCAGAGATGACAAGTCTTTAATCCATCTTTTAGCTACCCATCAGACATTTGCAGGCACAATTGAATAGTGTAAGTCCTTGTTACAATGATAACAGTAGTAATGATAGCCAATATTTATTTAATTCTTTCAGTATGCCAGACATCTCTGTGTTTTCCCTGAATTTTCTTAGTTAATCTTGATAATCTTCTTTTAAGGTGTCTATTAATATTCTCAATTAACAAATGAGGAAACTAAGGCATAGATAATTAATGTCCCCATGTCATGTGATTACTAATTTATTAAGCCAGAATTCAGACTCAATAGGTTCATTTGATTGCCCAGACTTTTAACTACTTTTTTCTTTTTCCTTTCTTTTCTCCCATGTAGTCAATATACATAAAAAGAATTGTTGCAAATTTTAAAGTGAGATAAGTCAAACATTAAAATAGCAAAAAATCCCTCAAAATTCTTGAAATTGCTTAAGGTTGTCTCATTGTCCACAAGTATTTTTCTGCCTAAAATAGTGTGGATAAATACCAAGTGTATTGCAGCTGCATCAAGTTAGGTATGAATATGAAATATTTCTCTCTAGGTCAGAAATACAATCTTTGGGGAATTTAGCATTTTATGTTCTTCATAGGAAACACACAAATACACCCACAAAGTCATCTTTTTTATAGGCTAGTGCTCACAGTATTTTAAATTTCTTCACACACCATGATCACAACACAAACAATTCCCCATAGAGTACACCATTGTAAATGGAATTCAGAAAGAAAAAAAGGTTGTGTGTGAAGTCTATTGTATTTTTGAATTTACACTCCTTCTGAGGTCTGGAGTTATCCCAGTAGTAAATTTCACAGTGGTAGGCAGAACTGGTCAAGGTCATGGTTCCTTGAATGTTGCTTGGGTAAAACCCACAGTAGTCAGGATATTACCTTAGAAGGAAGGGAAACCAGTCTGTTCTGGTGAATGTCTTTAAGAAGAGAAAAAAAGAAAGCTTTGGTTGACAACCTTTGTGTTTACATAAGGGTCTTAGTGCTCTCAATGTTAGTCAAGGTCAGTGAGAGATTTTCTTTTTAATCCCACATCCTCACAAAACTGGGCAGTATTCAGTGACCAATAGTGCTCAGCCAAGATTTTCTTGGTATAAAAATTTTAACTTTTATTGTGAGTACAATTTTAGAGAAAAATACATGGAACATTCATTTTTGCCTTTCAAGCATGTATCAAAAAGTTTTGGTTTGAAATCAAGCTTCATGTTTTTACTATGACATCACTAATTTTGCTATTTCATCCAGAGGTTTTGGAAAATCCTAGTGTACCTTGCAACTTATACATCTAGGTATTTTTATGATCTACAAACTTATTTAAGACTCATTGTCACATTCTCCTATTTAAAAAATTTCAACAGCTTTATTGAGGTATAAGTGATACAGAGAAATACAGACCATGTTTAATAAAAGTAGCTTGATGTGTTTGAAAATATGTATATGTCCATGAAACCATTCAAAGAGTGTATCCTCTTCTATCTAGTCTGCTTAAATAGCAACTCATGAGTGAAGGGTAACATCCAAGATTATTTAACTTGCTTAAGTAAATGATTTTAATTAAATACTTATTACCATTTTTATATGCTTTACCAGGTAAAGTACTAGGGGTTGAAAAGAGATTCTTAACCACTGAACCATATCCCCAGCCCTTTTTATTTTTTTTATTTTGAGACAGGGTCTTATTAAATTGCTTAGGTTATCATTAAATTGCAGGAGCTGGCCTTGAACTTGTAATGCTCCTGCTTCAGCCTCCCAAATTACTGGGATTACAGTTGTGCACTGTCACAGCTGTCTATAAATCTTTGTTAAAAAGAAGTTTCCTGGGCTGGGATTGTGCCTTTGTGGCAGAGTGCTTGCCTTGCACATATGAGGCACTGGGTTTGATCCTCAGCACCACATAAAAATAAATAAATAAGAGTGTTGTGTCCATCTCTAACTAAATTTTTTTTTAAAGAGGTTTCCTTGGGAAACAGTAAACAGGATATTGGTCACAGTTCTGTGGAGATTTATGCTATAGATGATAAAAGCTGATCTTTTAAAATGCAAATACCACCCTCTAGATAATAAGCGTTGATCAGTCTTCCTTGTCTTACTATACATTATTTACACTTTAGGTTTCTAAGGAAGGGAAGGAAAAGAGACATAATTTTGTTCAGAAGGAAATTTTCAGGAAACGCAAGACTTTGAACGCAAGACTATGTAACCTCAGAAGGACTTTTGAATCACTCAGGAATCTGAAAAGTAGAAAATAGGAGCTGTGTAACACACAATAAAGGGAGGAGGAAAGAATAGAGTTCATTAGACTAGACAAGAGGGAATGAAGAGAAGGGGGAGATGGGAAAAGGGAAGACAGTAAAATGAATTGAACATAACTTTCCTATGCTCATATACACCACCAGTGAAACTCCACATCATGTACAACCACAGAAATTACACATGCTTGTACTACATGTATATATAATAGCTCAAAATGCACTCTACTGTCATGTGTATATAAAAAGAACAAATAAAGCTTAAAAAAATAAAACAGCAGTTATGGTGCTTCATGTAAGTGTGGAAGGAAAAGAAGGCTTTCCACAGATAAATTTTAGTTGCATTGTAATAGTAGCAACTGTGCTCTGTGCCATAGAAACTCTTTCTTGCTTTCAACTTTAGTTTCTTGGTTTGATAATCTGGGTCTAAAATGCAGTAAACATTGTCATTTAGTTTAATTCTAAAATGGAATGTTCTAGTTAACTAAGAAATGTCAGATTAAATACATATTATGTATTTTTAAGGGATAGAAGTCCAATCAAATCCATTGAAACTATACTGAAAGTACCAATGTTAGATTCTTATTATATTAACATCATACTAACACAAAACAATAGCTATGAAAACAAAAAAATGATTTCTCTTTTCAGAAACAGTAGTTTTTTTTCAGCTTCTTTTTTCCTTCCAATTCATGACTACGTTTTTTAGGTTATAACACACAATGTAAATGATTTTTTTTTGCTTTTTGCACAAGAAAACTGTGTTCCCTTTATAATGATTACTGTGCACATTTACTATTATTGGGACTTGCATTAAATGTATTATATGCATTTAACATCTCCTATTTAAATATTAAAGTTACCTGGTTTTTTTATGATTTTGATTTACAAAGATCTTTATTTTTATAGTATATTTATCATTTTTAAAATTTTTTATTAAAATAAGTTTTAAAAAGTGAGATTATTGGGTCAGTGGGATTAAGCATTTGTATATCACTTGGAATCTATTGCCTAATTGTCCTAATAGAAACTGTTCCTAGCAGTAGTACATAAATGTGCTAATTTTCCCAGTCTTTCTGACTTTGGGGGTTTTTTGTTGTTGTTGTTGTTGTTGTTAATTTAATTGGTGTTAAATTGTATCTCACATATTTAATACTCTATTTTTTATTACTTGAAAGTTAATATTTTCTTTTCTATAAAATCATTTTATTCTGTCTGTTCTTTAAATTGCTCATTCTTATTTCTCTGCCCATGAATCAATAGCTTAATCCACCATATTGAATTTGATATAACTACCTTAACAATATAATATTATCTCAATGTTTAAAAGCCTCCTACTTGCAAAAGTGTTTAATAGAAGTTTCAAGCTGATATGCTTCCAGGTACACCTATAATTAATTGGTTGACTTCTTTCTTTGAAATGTTCTTCCAGTAATAAAATGGCTAATTGGACAACACTCGATTGTCAAAGACAAACAAAGAGAAAAATAGATGATTTTGTTTAGCATGATTCCTATATTTTGATTTATGTTCTAATTTTAAAGTAAAATATTTTTTAAATATTATACTCCTTTAAAAATTTTTGTTTCTAGAATAATGGCACTGTCCTTTTGTCAATATTTCCTGTATGCAGGTTTAGTCGAATACCAGTAGATGGCACTAATTACATAAACAATTCAACAAGTTAATGAAGAGAAGAGAAATGCATGAAAAAAAAATTTTCTGTTCAAATTTTGTTATGTGTCACATGCACAACGATTATATAGAAACTTGTTTTTACACTTTGCTCTCTCCTGTGATAAAAACAATTAAGCTCACTTTATTTCCAATTAATTGGTACTAAATTGAAATACTTAAAACTGGTTATTGTTCTAGCTGCTGCATTTGAAAAGTTTTGTCATGAAAAGGAGGTTAGCTTATACTGTCATGGTTTACTAAATCATATAGTAGGTTAAAAACAATCTTGAAGACATATCTAACCTAAGGTTTCAGAAGCTATTTGAGGAAAGTCCACCTATAGATTTCAGAAAAAGAACCTGACTTTCATTCTATTTCCCATATACATCTATAGCAGTTGGCCAAAGACCTCCGTCAATGGCAGATAAACATAGATGTGGCAAATGACTTGGCCCTGAAACTTCTCCGGGATTATTCTTCAGATGACACCAGAAAAGTACACATGATAACAGAGAACATCAATGCATCTTGGGCAAATATTCATAAAAGGTAAGAACTACATTATTTCTAAAACTATTATTGTCTATAGTGAAAGGGTGGTAGCACTGAATGGACAAACAGGTTTGTTTTTCCAATCCTGCTAAACTGGTGCTTAGGAGGCTCCAAGATGGCAGATGCTGACTCAACTCACAGGTTTGACTCAGCCTTCTATTGTAATGATGAGAATGAAATGATTTGCCCACAGTCAAAAAGGTAGTGACAGAATCAAGAGAAAACAAGAACAAAATACTGATCTGTAGCTGTAAAAGTCATTTATCAGTCTTCTCTGAGAACTCTATTCAAACAAATACCTTTCTAACCCATCATGGCACATGCTGTGTGTCCCATGCTTAATCTGACAAGTCACTTTGAAATTCATAATGGTGTTATTGATGTCAAAAATGTCGCTATTGTATCTCACTCCATATCCCCATTGGGAAAATCCATGTAGGGTATATGACTCATAATTTTCATTTCTCATTATATATTTATGGAAATTTATAGCTTTTAGAGCACTATCTCCTCAAACTAGGTCCTGTCTCCTTATTAATCCCTAGTGCTTTTCTTGCATTAATACTTGTTCCAATCATAAATAAAAACATGAATTATATAATTCATGTTTGTCTTACAAATTAGTCTAAATTCCATGAGGGCTGAGATTGTCTTTCTTTTTTGACACATGCCCAGGTCCTAAACCAGGTGACATGATAGGGAGCTAGTAAATATTTGCTAAATGATGGCTTCATTTGCATAATAAAGTTACCTTGTGTATACTATGATAAGTGAAGGATAGTTGGGCTCTTGAGTTGTGTCAGACAGTAGGCAAAAATAGCACCTTAGCAATGATAAGGACAACAATGGTGAAAGGAAAGTTCTAGAAGATGACATGAATTACTGAAAAGTCAGTTAGGTAGTCTTTATTAAAAAGGAAAATCCTACCAAAAGGAAAACTCAGATTTTAAACAAAGGAGCAGGAAGTCTTAGGAGTAATGAACTGTTGATACATGAAAATAAAAAGCCAAGTAAACCTTGAAACTGAGTGAAAATAAAGTACTCCGGTGATGCTTGATTTAAGCTGGTGACCCTAGAGAATAGAGTAGCGCTAGTCCTGAATTCCAGACAGTGGATGTCCAGATGACCATTAAAAAGAAAATGCAACCTAAAGTTGAGGAGCTGGGGTCTTATCAAAAAGACCCTGGTGGGGAAAGGGCAAACTTCAATAGAGAACTGATATTTGGGGAGAAAAATCTATCAGTGTAGATGGCAAGGTTTGGACATTCTTCTCCAAATAAAAATCTGCTATCTATTCAGCAAAACAAAGGCAGATTAGACTTGGGAAGAATTATCCATATGAAATCAATTGGTTATCATAGAGTCAATCATTAGATCTCAAAGGAAAATACCTGCTTCTCAAACCGAAGCCTCTTTGGGAAAGTACATTAAGATGATAAATTAATTTGGAGAGTTTAGATATGTAAATTAAGAAGGAGTAAACAAAAGTGCTTATTTATAGTACAAAACTAGAGTTTCAAGGGACTGAACAATTCCATCTGCTCTACTCTTTCTGGAGTATCCCTCTCTCCATATTCTCATGCTGCATAATGTCCTAAGCAAAACTCTAAGATCTTTGATCACTTTATTAAGGTCTTTGAATTATCTGGGGGAAGGAATTCCAGTTTGTTTTTTGGCTTTGTCCCTAAAAAGCTATCAGCTAAGGAAGATATAGAGTTACTTCTCCATAGGTAGAATAAATGAGACTTAAGAAGCCAACTTACCTTTTTACATGGCCCATACCAGAATCTGCAATTCACCAAGCTACTTTTGACTCATTCCTGTAAAATTCTTCCCCATTCTTTACTCACTTCATATATACTCTTTTTGAAATTCATGCACTTGTGTATTTTCAGTCCACTGATGACTACCCATCTGTATTTCCAGCTAAGAATGCTCTTTTGAGTATTAAACTGTATATTCTATCACTGCCTTTCCATTTTAATTTCCCACAGGAGCTTCAAATTGATTAGATCCAAAGCTAAACTCATCTATGCCCTCACTCAACCTTTTTCTCTAAATGTAACCAACTTCTTTTCCTATGTTCCCTATCCAGTGAACATTAACACAACCCATCTGGTTGTTCAATTTGGAAAACTAACAGAGTTGTGCTTACCACTTCCTTCTATAACTCCCATAGCTAAACTACAGTACAGCCATTTACTGCCTAAATAGCCTTCAAATCCAGTCACTTCTTTCCATCCCTACTCCTCTACTGTGATGTTAGGCCTGAAAAACCACATCATTTATTTTACTAGTTTTTCTTCCTCTAATCTTTCAACTTTCTACCCATTCTCTACATAGGTTCCAGGATGATTTTTTCTAAATACAGTATATTCATGTAGCCCACCCTCCTCCCACATTTAAAGCAATTCATAGCTTAACCATTACCTTTAAACATAGTCCACACTCCTTTAAATGGTTTTAAAGTCTTGTGTGATTTGGCCTTTCCTGACAACTGAGCCTAATTTCCTGTCCTCCTTTGATCTTCCCCCTCCTTCTGTCATGTACATTAAGTAACAAGAGAGCTGTTTTCATTTCCTCTTCACTATGTTCTGTCTTCTATATGGCCTGCTGAGTTAGTACATACATCATTTCTCTTCCTTGTCTGCTTAAATTCTATTCATTTTCCAGGTCTCAGTTTTAATGCTAATTCCTCCAGAAAACCTTCTTTATCAACCCTAAAAACTCGTGCTCTTCTGGTGCACTATTATGTTTATCTCACTACATTACACTGAAGTGTTTACTGTTCTTTGTCTCTTATGAGAATGTTGGTTCTATATGCATAAGTACATTGGCTGCTTATCCACCATCATATAACCTGGCACTTAGCATGCACATAGTAACTACTCCCTAAATGTTTTTTGATTGGATAGGTAAATGAACAAACAACAAATAACTATTAGTGTTCTACTGTATCAAAAACTCAACACAGAGAAAATCATATCTAGTAGGATTGCTTTTCAGTTTTGAGTCACCAAAAAACTTCAGTAGCTTATTAAACAGAGGTCTTTTCTTCTCCCATAATGAGAAGTTCAGAGGTAGGAAGATATTGACATGTATTCAGTAACTCAGCAATGTCAGTCCTGATGTCTCTAAGTTCTTCCTAGCAGAACACGTACATCCCAGCAGGAAGAAATAGTAGTAGAAGGGACAGCTCTTGTATCATGAAAGCAAAGTCTTTTCAGAAACTTTAGTTCCAGAACTGTGCTGCAAAATCATTGCTTATGTCTGGGATTGGGGTGGCCTCTATCAATAGAGAATGACTTCTACAAAGAGCATGGAAACAAACTGGCACACTGTAGCTGGGCTGTATTAAGTTCCCTGGGAAAAATAATAACCACCCAAATCATTGACTGGTGGAGTAGGATTATAGTAAAAATGGGCCATGTGGACTTGAATGTTGCTCTGGTCAGTGAGATCATGAGGGAAGTTGCATTCTTTATAGGCTACTGATACTTTACATTAGAAATTCACATTCTGTGTTTGCTATGTGTGTCCATTTTATAAATTAAAACATATTATGCTTTGTCTACAGCTTCTCTTATTTTACATTCTTATAGGCTCTATTTCTTATAAAAAAGTGTTTATATGATCTTTTGCATTTTGATCTATTTAATATCTTGCCCAGTTGAACCTAGAAGTGAATTAAAATCATCATCCTTTATATTTGTGCTGTCCAATAGGACAGCCATATGTCACATGTGGCAATCTTATTATGTTTAAATAAAATTTAAAATTCAATTTCTCAGCCAGGCATGGTGGCACATCCTATAATCCCAGAGGCTTGGGAGGCTGAGGCAGGAGGATAGCAAGTTCAAAGCCAGCCTCAGCAAAAGTGACGCTCTAAGCAACTCAGTGAGACCCTGTCTTTAAAGAAAATACAAAATAGGGCTGGGGATGTGGCTCAGTGGTCAAATGCCCCTGAGTTCAATCCCCAATACCAAAAAAAAATAATTTCTCTCTCTTGTTAGCTATCTTTTGAGTGCTTAAGAGCCATATGAAACTTCCCTATCTGACCATTGAACACTAATGTGTTTCCTATACTGAAACTGGAAATCATGTGGATAAACCTATGCAAAACTTTTGTATATTTGGAACACTATTTAAAGCAATAAAATCTTCAATTCAGTTTCAAATTGTTCAGTTTTAAATAAGATAAATGTTACCTGGAAGAACTTTATTTTGCTATCATTTGCCGGCAGGTTGTTGTTTCAACACATAAACAAAAACTAAAATAATGTTTACTTCAGAACCTTTGTTCTGAATATAAATGATCGATGTAGGAAAATATTTTGCTTTTCTGATCACATTCCATATAAAGTTCTTGTTAACATATAAAGTAAAATATGTGAGCCTCTGCAAATTCATTCCTTTCTTTTCTGTCTCTGTGAATAGATATGGATTTGTGAATAAGATAATATTAGATGTGATATTACAAATTATTGTGAGAGACCTCTAAGGATTAGATTTCAAGGACTGCCATCTGTCTGATGACTTTATGATGACACTGTCATGAGATTTCATTTCCTTATTTCTATTCCAAGATCACTCTTTAAACAAGAAATGAGCATTAACTCTGAATTATCTGCCTATATCTGTATGAGGACTTCCACAATGTCTAACTGGGCTGGTCGAAGTTCATCAAGTAGAGGCCTGGTCCTAGCATGAGAAGTTTCAACATGGAAGGAAGCTCCTTACCTAAAGCCCTAGATACCAGAAAAATTCCTGTAGATTCTAAGAAAAATTTGGCATTTATGTGTTTATACATGTATATTTACATGCAAATATGGGCATGTGTGTATGCATATCAAATACAATCACATGGTATACTATTCCTTAAAATAATATCATAGTATCCTTCTGTCCTTCCTAATAACACATTTTTAGGTTTTAATAATCACAATTAATAAATGATAATCTGAAAAAAATATGGCCTGGGATCTCTATCTTTGGCA